ATGTTCAGAGAAAATGAAAAGAGATCACAGCTTTAGACAACTCTTCTCTTTGGTTGTACATTATTACTTCTAATTTTTTTTAGATTGTCAAGTGATTATTAATCCATAAAATACCCATAAACGGACAAGTATGATTATCAAGTAATTATTAATCCATGAGTAGAAAATTCAAATAACATATATATTTTAGATAAAAAGTTTTACTTTAACATTCAATAAACAACCCGGGCATCGCACGGGGCACAAAACTAGTTTTTATATAAATACATACAGCATACAATTGTAATGTATTTATTAAATTTAAATCTCTTTGTATATGTCGTATGACTTTTTATTTATGAATCAATCTTTATTCAAAAAAAAAAACATACAACATACAAGTATAAGAATGCAGATTAAAAAAAAATCCAAAATATTTTATTGTTGTCATTGTATTCTAATTAACTCACAATAAAAAATAAAAAAATAAAAAAATTATGAACAAATCGTTTTATTCACACCCTAGTTTAAAAAATTACAAGATGTCCTACATCTGCTATCGAATCTAGTGCTCTATTTGTTTCTCTATAATGACTTATTTCTCAATGCTCAAACTTGGGAAGTATCTTTATGCTGATGAGGATGCTTTGGATCAAATTCCACTAAGACCAAATTCCTTGAACTAATTTTTTATGTGTATCAAAAAGCGCTCTCGAAAATAAAGAGGGAATAACCTCAATAATGTTAGGTTTTCAAGTAATTCAATAACAAGAACTACTGTAACAATTGTGGGAACAAAACCTAACTATGTGTAATTAATAATGAATTATACAATAATCCAAATACAATTCAATGTACTACAACCAAACACCAATTAATCAAAGTATTACAGAAAAACACAATGAAAACACTAGTTGTGAAAGATTATATACTTGCCTCTACTCCAAGCCTTAACAACCAACATGAACATGAGAAAACCGGTGACCACTTGAGTCTAATTCCTTGATACACTGTCTTAGGCGTGTAAAAACTTTCCTAAAGAGTTTAATTTCCCCCACAATGGTGCTTGGGTTTAATCCGGATTTACTCTTTGAGATACAAAAGACAGCCCAACGTTCTTTGCACTTAAGAATCGAAGAAAAGATGATCAATTCACAAATAGGATTAACTGGAAGAGATTTCTCACAAAAGTTTGCAAGAAGTTTGTGAGGAATTGTGAAGAATCCTTAGGGAGAGAAGAAGAATAATTTTCTGTACTTCTCAAATCTCGGAAAAAACAAGCCTTTTATTAAAGACTTAACCGTCAGAATTTCGCGAAAACAGACTGGCGCAGGCGCGCCTCTCCTGAACTTGCAAAATTCACAAAGGAAGGCAGAGTGGTACGAGATTTAGGCGCTAGCGCGCCATCTATGACGCGCGGGCGCGCCACCAGACGCGCGACCGCGCCAACTGCACCCTTCCAAATATCCAAATTCCAGTGAGGTCCGCGGTTTAGGCGCGACCTCAGCACGACAGCGCGTATCTAGCGCGGGCGCTACTCATGGTTCGCGAGCGCACAACCATAAAAACTCTAAATATTCCAAAAAATAATTCCAATACAATACAATATGAGTAATGGGAAATACAATTAGGATGTCATCCTCTCGAGAGATATACCTTAATTGTCTGTGTAGAGCATCGAGGGGATTTGCAGGCTATTATAGGTATCAATGTATATTTATACCTTATATATTAAAAGCGTTCCCGAGAATAAAGAGGAAATAGCCTCAACAATTCCAAGACAATTAAAATTATTCTCTTTAAATCATTTTTTTTTACTAACATCTGTAATATATATTAAAAGATGTTTCTAAATTTGTGTATGTGCCAAGTGTGACCTTTAACATCATGCCACAACATCATTCAATGAATTAAAAATGCATACAAAGAGATTCGAACCTAAAACCTCATTGAATGAAAACAACATGTATTACCATCTTAGCTAGAAATAAATCATGTCCTATTAATTCACATTTATATAAATACAAGTATTAAAATGTAGAATAAAAACAAAATAAATCCAAAATGAGTTATTTTTGTCATTGTATTCTAATTTACCCACAATATAAAAGTTAACCAGACATTTAAAGTGTCTAATATAAAAATGAAAGGAGCGAAACCCGGGTCACACACTAGTTATATATAGTTATGTAATTATATATTAAAAGGAATTTCTAAAAATGTCTATGTTCCATGTTTACTCCTTCTTACACCAACATCATGCCACATCATCATTCAACAATCTTTACCAATGAGATCATAAACTAAAAATGCATATAAAGAGTTTTGAACACCAAACTTCATTGAATTGAACACCAAACCTCATTGAATGAAAACCACATGTATTACCATTTTAGCTAGAATTTAATCATGAGTTCGTGACTTATTAATCCACATTTTTATATAATTACATACAACATACAAGTATAAGAATGCTAATTAAAAATAATCCAAAATATTTTAGGAAAAATTGCTCAGAATAATCCCACCTTTGTCTCATCCACCTAAAATAATCTCACCTTTTAGTTATTTTTGAATAATTCGACCTTAATACCCAATCCGCTCCCAATGGTCCTGAGTGATCGGTTATCTGATAAATAGGTATTTTTTTTTGGTTTAAAGGACACGTGTCACCATATAATTTGTCTAAAATTTTAAATTAAAATAAAAATTGAATTTAAAAATAAAATAAAATTTGGTAGACACCTAGCAACTCCCTTCCCTAGCCCCAACCATGTGAGATCGGAGTAGTAACCGTGAGATTAGAGCAACAACCGTGAGATCGGAGCTCGCAGCGTCACCATCACGCTATTGTGGGTGGTCTGGGCGGCCGAAATCGGGGTGGGGGAAGGTGAGGGAGGTCGAAATCTGGGCGGTGGACGGTGTGGGAGGTCGAACTTGATCCGGGGTAAGGGGAGTGAGGTCGGGATCGGGTTAGGGAAGGGGAGAGGTGTCGAAATCGGGACGGGGGAAGGGGAGGGGGCCAGGATCCGGATGGAGATGGGGTTTTCGATGGTGGCCTGGGGAGATGATTTTATGGCTCGCCGGTGGTGATTTAAACGTTGCTTGGGTTTTGTGAGGGAGGGAGGCGGGTTGGTGGTTTAGGGGAGGGGTTCAAGCGCCGGCGCTAGCGCTGGGGTTGGGGGTCTAGGTGGCCTGAACCACGGGGCAGGTGAGTCAAGGGCGGCGGGGAAGGCTTGGTCTGGTGGTGGTGGTTCTTTACAAAAATTTATTATTTTATGTTATTTTTATTTTTTTTACAAATCGTAGGCTAACACGTGTTAATTAACTTGTTATAACAAGTTACATGACTGGTTGAGACCATTTTGAGCGGATTAATATCAAAGGTCAAATTATTAAAAAATAATCGAAAGGTGGGATTATTTTGGGCGGATGAGGCAAAAGTGGGATTATTCTGGGCAATTTTTCCAATATTTTATTGTTGTCATTATATTCTAATTTATTCACAATAAAAAAATAAAAATAAAATAACAAGTCTTTTTAAGTGTTATGTAAAAAAGAATTATTCAAAGTATAATCGGGAGCAAAGTCCAATTCACGCACTAGTTTAAGAAATTACAAGATATTCTACATCTGCTATCGAATCTAGTGCTCTATTTGTTTCTCTATCTATGATGACTTATTTCTCAATGCTCGACTTTTGGAGTAGTTTCTTCATGCTGATGAGGATGTTTTGGATCAAATTCCAATGAGACCAAATTCCTTGAACTAAGTTTAGAGTCCTTTCCCTAAATATTGTTGGGAAAACACGCAATTCCCAAAATACAGCCAATCTTTTTTTAATTCCCAAATTACCGTCCACGTCAGCTAAAGGAAAAAACCGAGGGTTTTTTTTTTTATCGGTTCAGCAACAAACCGCTACTTGAAGTAGCGGTGTTTTGGGAATAAACCGCTACTTCAAGTAGCGGTGTATGAAATTGAAACCGCTACTTGAAGTAGCGGTTTTCCATTTTATGTAAATAAAAAAAAAAATTATTTTACCTCCATTGATGAACCTCCACTTCAATGTGTAGCAATCCCAAGATTGTGCTTCATAGCAGAACCCGTACCCGATTTATCATGACCGTGACCCGAATTACCATTACTTGTGGATGCAGTGGGACCACCACCATTGAAAGAGGATTGTTCTTGGTGGTGTTGATTCCCAGATGGGTTTGCACTTGCTACCATTCCAAATTCAAGCTAAATTTCAACAAATTCACACTTTATAATCACCCAAAAACTCGATTTTCCGCCATAAATCGAATATCCAGATGATAAAAATGTCAAATTTCTTGATTTCTTCAAATGGGGTTTTGCAATTATGCAGGAAAATTGATGAATTTGAGGGAAAATTGAAAAGGGGTGTAAAAAGTGAGGGGAATTCACAAAGGTTTTGGAGGAGAGAGAGAAAGAGAGTATAAAATTAAGGATTGTACGGAAGAAAGAAGGAGAAAAAGGAGGAAATAGTAGTAGAAAATTTCAATTCGAAAACCGCTACTTGAATTAGCGGTGTTTCGAGACAAACCGCTACTTGAAGTAGCGGTTTATTCCCAGAACACCTCTACTTCAAGTAACAGTTTGTTGTTAGACCGATAAAAAAAAATCGGTTTCTTTCCGTTAGCTGACGTGGACGGTAATTTGGGAATTAAAAAAAGATTGGCTGTATTTTGGAATTAGTTCCCAACATTATTTAGGAAAAGGACTCTTAATTTTACCATTACTAGATTATCGCCTTCTATTACAAGTCTTAATAGATAATCATTCATATTTTATTATATTCGTCTTGTTGTTAATTGAAACGAACAAAACTAAAAATAGCAACTTTATATGAAGTATATCATATGGAACTCAAAGTCATCAAAGAATCAAATTCTTTCTATTAACAGGAGAATCTAATTCGTTAGTGTTAAAAATAGAATTGGTCAAAAAATACTCAAATGCTAATGTTATGACAATATCTTTGGTAACCTTGATATTCACACTAACTAATCATCATACATATCGTTCAAGCAAAGAAACTTAACACAAAAAAGTTGCTGTCACATTACAGTGCCACCATCTACACTCCACTCTTCTTCCACCACTTTCTAGTTGTCACTTCTTCAGTATTCCTCAATTTTATTTTTAATTTATTTTTTAAATAAATGTGCCCTTCTTCTTACTTTCCCATTTTCTGTATCTCATGATATTCTTGCATCAAAGTTCTGCACTTTTGATCAAACCCTCAAATCCCATTTCATGGAGATCTGATTGTAAGCTTAAAAACAGCAAAAACCCAGTTCAATTTTATGCTTTAAAACCCATTTCTTGCAGATTTCAGCAGAAAAAAGGGTTCTTTCAGCACAAATTTTTAAGCAGCAGTAGTAGTAGTATACAGGAAAAATCTGATAGTTTTTTGATGATGGAGTTTCTTAGTAAATTGGGAATTGGGTGTTTTGGGAATAGGAAAGATAAGCAATTGCAGCAATTAGGGCAGAAGACAGAGACTGAGTCTGTTGCTGGTGGGCAGGATGTTGTGGATTCTGCCATGGTTGAGGCTAAGCTCTCTCCTAAGCATCTTGTTGTCATGGTTAATGGTCTTATTGGAAGGTCCTCTCTCTCTCTCCTATTCTTACATTCGTTTTGTAATTCTTATAATGTTCATTGATTTTTGTAATGATATGATAGATGATATTGCTAGGTTGATGATTAATCCATGATTGCATATTATGTTAGAGGGTTAGAGTATAGTAGTAATTGTTTTTTGAGGGTAGTAACTAGTAACTAAGTAAGTAACTCAACCGAATCATTGAACTTGTGGGTTAACTCCGAAACTCGAGTTTGAGAATTTGCACCATGTGGAAGAACCAATTTTAGTTGAAAGTTTTAAAGAGCTAAGAACTTGTTATGTGTATATCTTGTTACAGTCGCTAGGGATGCTTGTTTGATGGCAATGCCGATAGGAAGTTGGATTTAAATGATAAGGAATTTGAGGATAATCAAAATTTACAAATGCTAAAAATGTGCTAGTTCATTTTTAAAGATAAAGGGTTTGAGGAAGCATATCAATCCTTAGTGGAAATTTTATGAGACAAATTACCCTATTGTGCTTAATTAAATTATGTTTGATAAAGGATTTTGAAGCTTTTAGTCAAGAGAATCATATGTTGGACGATAAGACAATTATTGGTAGTGTTACATTGTTTAAATTTTGAATGATGTGGTAAATGGACCATCGATTTGAAGTTAGCAAAATAAATTGAAAGAGGGAGAGTGATTGTGAAGAAGGATAGTAAATGTAGTATTGGTGAATGGGTATGCCTTTTTGGTCATTTCTATAAAAATTGGGTTAATGTGGGGATGAGAGTGATTTAGATATACGTTTTCTTAAAGACCTTGTGAAAAATGAAATAGAAGGCTCCTTTTATTGGATTAGGGCCAAACAAATGAAAAGAAATGAGTCCAGTTCAGTCATTTTAAGCAGGGGAGATAACAAGTGCCACTTTAACTAGTTTAGTAAGCATTTTTATAAGTAATCTGGTTGACCAGGTAGGTGACAGATTGACATGTATGAGGAAATTATGGGAACTAAAGAAATAACTTCTAGGTCTGTTATTTGACACATAGGATGAGATATTTTTGTTTGATGTTATGTAATATGGAGTATGTATGAGCAGACAATTTTTTTCAACTGATGTCAGCAATTGGGCAGTGTTCATGTTTATTTTCTTACATATTATATGTGCTTTGCAGCCTTCGCTAGCAAGGTTTGTTCACTCTTTTATGGAAATAGCTTCTTTTTGTAAAATTACAGATACAAAATCATTTGTGTGTTTATCGGCAACAGTGGTTTAATTTGTACTTGAACCACTGACTAAGTGATAAATATGTATCAATTTGTTATTCCTTGTCCCACAAAATGACAAAAAGAAAAGATATTAACTGAGAAGATTGAACCTTCCATCATGCCTTGTCACCCGTTATCGTTTAGTGCTGAATTAGCCAAAAGATAGAAGTTGTTAATACCTTGTTTTTCTGCCCTTCTATATGCCTATAATCCTATAACTCACCGTTCTCTATCTGTATAAAGTGGTTCAGTTTCATCGTTATGGTTTTGTACTGCTAAAACTTTTAAGAAATGTTTCACCATGCTTTGGCAGCTTGATTTTTTTAATTTTCTCCATTCTGAAATCTATAGTACTTAATAATATATTTTTTGGTGCCCCTCTGTATAATTATACACTTGCTACACATACTTACTTGACTTGTGAACACTTATAATGTAGTGCCACTGACTGGAAATTTGCTGCTGATCAATTTGTGAAGCAGCTCCCTGACAAAGTAATGGTGCATTGTGAGTTCTATTTCGTCCCTCCTGCTCCATACTTAAACTTTACTTTTCAGGGAGGCTTCCTACTCTAGTCTTATTACTGATCTATCCAGAAATTATTATAAGCTTTTCTTTTTTTAGACATGAATTGTTACCACTTACCAGCCTTTCATCCATTCATATAAAAAAGAGTTATTATTTATTAGTTTTAGTTAGGAAGCTAGTTTTCTCTTTATATTCACCAAAAAAATTTGCCAAAGTTAACATTCGTGTTTGCTGCAGGTAGTCAATGCAACACCGCTACATTGACATTTGATGGTGTTGATTTGATGGGTGAACGTCTTGCTGATGAGGTATTTGGGTAATAGCTATTTCATCCTCATAGCCTAAGTTACCTGTAATTATTTGCCTTGTCTTCCTTGTGAATAGCCTATGCTTTCTGCTCCTTACGAGACTTTAGTGATGATATGTTCATACTTTGCACAACTGCAGGTATCCACTGTTATCAGCCACAGGCCTGGGTTGCAGAAGATTTCATTTATTTCACATTCTTTAGGGGGTCTTGTTGCAAGGCATGCTATTGGAAAGCTGTATGAACCTCAGGAAACATCGAACATTTTGGTTGCAAAGGGAAACTACTTTGAAGATGAGACTTTAAGTTGTAGTGTGGAAAAGGTTGGGGAAGACTGCCAAGGTAGAATTGCTGGACTGGAACCCATGAATTTTATCACTGTTGCAACTCCACATCTGGGTTCACGAGGACACAGACAGGTAGGTACTTCAGCTAGACTTGCATAATGTTTCTTCTTAACTTGTGCGTACTGTTATTTCTCATATGAATTCCTCAATAGCCATTTAGAATGTTAATTGAGCTTGTGAGTTGTGACTACAAAACAAGCCTGATATTAGTTTATCTCGAGCTTACTTTTCAGTTTATAGTTCAGGAATGCACTCTGAAAACTCATTAAACAACACTTTTGACCATCTTTGTCTTGATACTGTCTTGCAGTAGTCATATTATGTGGCGGAGCCAGGAATTTCAAACCGGGGGGACAAATAGACATCGTTTAGTCTGATAAAAATGTTGGAACAAATAGATACTTAAATAAATAGTTAAAGTTCTACAACTCAAAAAAAACCAAAATATGGAGTACTTAGTCAAAAAAACCTACATTATATACCAACTCTTCCTCCATAAAAGTATTTGATTATGGGTTCAGAATTTTTGGAAAATCCGAACATTAAGAATTATTGAAAAAGTCAGAACATTAAATTATATAGCTTCATAATGCCCTATTACAAGTTTACAACCTTAATTTGGGGTAATGACATGTTCATGGTATAAAAATAAAGAATGTAAAATTGCAGTATCAAGGATTGAACTCTAATCTCTTGTATATAAGCTCATGTCAGTAGCTATGAAAGCAATGAATGGTTGTTGTAATAATCCCGTGGGTTTTAAAATTATATTTTATCATTCTGTACTTATTCAAAAATAAGAGATAAAATGAACTCCCGTGGGGATTGATCCCGCATTCACGAGGCTCTACAAGTGCTACTTTGACCTCTGATCCATTTCATTTGGTATAAATCATTATGCACAAAATAATCTATTTGAATGATTTTTTTTTTCTTAAAAAAAAAAAAAAAATGGTTGTCCCACGCTGGCTCCACCACTCATATAGGATGTCTAGTCATTTTTACAACACTGTCATTGGATTAACTCTTCCTTTTCTTTGTCAAACTTGGTGGATGCCATGCCTATTTTATTGGGTGCTCTGTGCCTAAGGTTGAACAGAACTCAGTTTAGAATGTCATACATAGTCTATGCTAAGATGTTGGCTAGCTGTTGGCAAGCATATTTGCTTAGTATATACTACCTCCATTTTTTTTAGTTGACACGTTTTGACTTTAGCACTATTCACTCACTCCCCTTTGACCGTGTTTTGTGCTTTATACGTAATGAAAAATATAGTCGTGTGGGATCTTGTTAGATTCGTCAAGATATATATATTTTTAGAATATCAACTTTATATGATTTTTGTTTATCGGTAATTAAAGATATTAATGGTTGAAGTTGTGCATTGGCAAACGTGACTAAATAAACGTGTCAACTAAAAAGAAACAGAGGAAGTATTTGCATATTAAGTTTGTTGTATGGAGTAATGTTTATAAAGACCTTGTATGTGTTGTGCTCCAGAATTCTCCTTTTGAGATACTATCATTTCTTGATTTGAATCTGAGAGGCTTGATCGGGTGAGATGTGGCACATTTCTTTGTCTGAACGTAGTATGTAGACCAAGGCCAACCAAAGTTCATGATTTAGTCATTTAACTCCCATGAACATTCATATTATGATTCAATTTAGGAGTCCTGCTAGCATATTCTCTTGGATGATTTGACTTTTATGATGTGCTTGAGACGTTGAGAGATATATTAGCCTATGTTGTCCTGCGCATGTTATATGAAATTATGAACATTATAGGAGGAAATTTTGAATTCATCTCATGGAAATTTCTTTTTGCTCTATGTTTCTTACCTCCAATGTTGAACATATTTTGTACGGAAACGGATACGGGGACAAAAACGGGTACGGGTCTGGGGACGGGGACGGGATACGGCAAAATCAAAATTTCCAAAAATGGGTATTGCTAGCATGGCTAGTAGGCTGGTTCAGTTTGACCCCATTTCTCTAGGTGATGCTGTAGAAAAGCTAGCATGGCTGTTCCCCATGCATAAGTAGCAGATTTAGTATTTGGATCACTTAGCACTTTAAAGAAGGGGGCATACATACTTAGCCCATCGGTGGACGACATTATGAAGCACCATACAATGAGCATCAATAATGCCATCTTTTGCCTCTTCCAGTCGAGCTCCTTGTTGTATATAATCTTATATAATTTGGTTGGTGAAACAAGAGTGATCTCCCCATCTTCGAATACAGTAGCAGAATGCTTATTACTGTATTGTTGGATGAGCACCGATTTGCCGTCAATGGGCAATTTAACTAGGAATAACTCATCTTGTAGTGTTATTCCTAGTTTATGCCCATTAATGTCAAAGGCGTTGGAAGTGTGATTGTAATAGCCCAACACCTTTGACACAAAAGACGACAAATTTTTAACCTTAGTCTATTTGACTGATTTTCCCATTAATGACAAAATTGAAGGAAAATCAGTCAAATAGACCAAGGTCAAAAATTTGTCATCTATTGTGTCAAAGGTGTTGGGCTATTACAATCACACTTCCAGCACCTTTGACATTAATGGGCATAAACTAGGAATAACACTACAAGATGTGTTATTTTTAGTTAAATTGCCCATTGACGGCAAATCGGTCCTTATCCAACAATACACTAATAAGCATTTTGCTACTATATTCGAAGATGAGGAGATCACTCTTATTTCACCAACCAAATTATATAAGATTATCTTCAACAACGAGTTTGACTGGAAGAGGCGGAAGATGACATTATTGATGCTCGTTAAACCGTGCTTCATAATGTCGTTCACTGATGGACTAAGTATGTATGTCCCCTTCTTTGAAGTGCTGAGTGATCCAGATACTACATCTGCCACTTATGCATGGGGAGCAGCCATGCTAGCTTTTCTTCAGCATCTCCCGGAGAAATGGGGTCAATTTGAGGAGGACAAAGTAGCATGGCTAGTAGGAGATCACTATGAATGATAGAGGTAGCTAGTAGGCTGGTTTAGTTTTCAAGCTAAGTTTACCTTTTCGGGTGTGACCTTGAACTGGCTTAGTCTAGGCATAAACTCTAGGTTAAGGGCTAGATCCTGAATATTGCCCGGATGATGTAAGTCTAAATACACCCACCTGGAATATAGGTTGATGGATTCAAACTTTTTAGAACGGGTTACGAGTTACACTAGAAAACTCACGAAACGGGATAGATAACCAAAACTCAAGAACACACTCAAAGTTTTGGGATCTTAGGCAAGAACTCAAGACACACTCAAAGTTCACCCTAATCTTATAACTCAAGAATAAACTCAAAGCAAACTGCTAAAAACACTCGGTTTTTTTTTTTTATCAATAATCAAAAGCTGTCATTCTCTTGTTATTATCTCCCTATTTATAGGCAATATGGGCAGCAAGGCAACTGAAAGGTTACAACTTAACATCTCCCTAAAACCGTCCACATTCAACGGTTACAAAAACTAAATAAAACTCTCTTAATTCACTCCTTTGTAACACCTACTTAAATGGACAGTTACAAATCAGCAATTAAGAGTTACACTTACTCTTAATCACACATAAACTTATGGCTAAAAAAGAGAGGAAGTTAGTAACTCCTCTAAGCCTTATTACAACCTAAATAAACGATAAAGCAAACTTAATTATATAGCCCAAAATAGCAAATGGCCATGCACACATAAATAGTACTCCTTTGTGGGCTTCAAGTGATCTCCCAAGTGAGCAAAGTAACAAATTCGGGCTTGAGAGAAAATGGACTAAATCCAAGAGTTTCTAACACAAAGGCAACTCGTTCTTGATCCATGGAGCTTCTAAGTGGATTGCTTAATCTTGGATCACTGGATCAGCCTAGGCACAGCCTGGTTCATTGGACTGTCTTTTTAAAATATTGAAGGACTTGGGAAAAAAAAGGATAAAATACCCAACCTTCCACCTCAAGGGTCTGTTGAGGCCTGGTACTGGTCCAATTCTGGTTCAGTGTGTTCTGAACCACCCAGTTTTGTACCTCGTCCATCTAAGTCTAGGGCTCTGTGTCCAGCTTTGCTGATTCATTTCTCAATTTGTTTTAAACATTTTTTGAGAGCCATCTGGAGTGTAGTTAAAAACCTTAATCTCATCCACAACTTGTTTTAACCACAGTTACCTTTCCTTTGTGGCGTCCTTTTCTTGGAGAAACAAGCTTCACAAACTGCGCACTTGATTGCTGGAAGGTCTGGAAAGCATCTCTTTCTAACTGATACTGAAGAAGGCAAACCTCCACTTCTTGTTCGTATGGCTTCTGATTCATATGAACTAAGATTCATGTTGGTATATCATTAGTTATCTCAAAATTGACTTGTAAATATAGACTTTTTCATAATATAATCTGGTTATTTTTTGGACCTTCACAGTTCTGCTTTACGATCTTTCAAGCGGCGTGTTGCTTATGCTAACGTTAACTTTGATCGTATCCTTTGTAGTTAAAATTTGATTTTTCCTTCTTTTGTTATGCGAGCTATATAAGCCATTGGATGCAATATTCTGTTGTTCCTGACTGCTTGTTCAGATGTAGTTGGGTGGAGCACCTCTTCAATCCGCAGGCAGCATGAACTACCTAAGGTTGATGTTTCTTTGTCCTGATCATATTTCACTTTTACCAAAATATTCTTTAGTCTTTGACAAAAAAAAAAAAAAAAAAAAAATAGTAATCATCAAACTTACTTTTTCCCTCCATGTTATAGTCTAATTTACTCGCAAACGATGACAAGTACCCTCATATTGTTTACATTGAGCATGACACTCCGGATAACGGTCGCCATAAAGTGTCTTCAAACGCTGATAACCAGTCACTTGACTATGAAGGTCTGTTTTTACCTGCAAATTGGATATTCGGCTGTGTGTTGGATAGATCCTAGCTACTGGTTAATTCTGTTTTGTAAATTGGAATATTAAATATCTCATCATATACATATAATTTTCAAGGACATTATTGATTCTTTTCCTATAAAAAAAGTACATTATTGATTCTTGAACTTCCTCATACCTGGGGGCAATATCATTTCCAAGTCTTTTCTATTATATGTGGATCAATACTGAGGGCACATTGGTTAAAACGAGCTTTCTTTGGTCTGTATGCTCCGTTTTCTTATCAGTTTCTTATTCTTTTTTTTTTTTTTTTTTTTTTTTTTTTTTTTTTTTTTTTTTCTGGCCCCTTGTAGAGGAGATGATCAGAGGTCTTAACCAAGTACCTTGGGAACGTGTAGATGTTAGCTTCCATCAGAGCAGACAGCGATACATTGCACATAATACCATTCAGGCAAGTGACAAACCAAATGCATGTGCTGCATTCTCACAGTGTGCTACCTTGTACTGTTGTATTTATGTTCTACTCAGTTATTGTAGATGCGCAAGTTAAGAAAACAATCGTATTGAAGATTGTGAGTGGGTGTAATATAGAGCAGAATAAAGTAAGAGAGAATGCAAAAAGGTGAATAAAGTAAAAGAGTGTATGTAAAGGTGAAATTATACAAGTCTTGGGTGAGATGTGGTTTCAAATCTCTTGGGATTCTGGTGAGGGTTTTTCCTTTATCCCATATCCCCTGGCGGACCCTATTATCAAGATAGATTGTAGAAGTTATATGTGAAGTTTTGTTTGAGCTTGACCTCCTATGATATGTTTTCCTTCTTTTGTTTTCCTGGAGGCAGTGCTCCGGAACTGTAATTGTTGCTTTAAAAAATAAGAAACTGAAGGCTAGTCAGGATAAATAACATATACCTAGAAGCGGACTGCAAAATGCTCACTAATTCATCTTTTTTCATATATCTTACAATGGAATGGCTACTGATAGTTGTATTTCTTCGATAAACATAGGTGAAGAGCTATTGGTTGAATTCTGATGGTGCAGATGTTATCTACCATATGATCAACAACTTCCTGGTTTAATCTCCATCATAAATCGCTCCTTATCTTGCGTACCATGGGTTTGTCTGAATTGTAAACTTATAATGCTTTACTCTGCATTTCTTAGACTAGATATAGCTGCACATGTTGTATTTTACCGAAAATTCTGCTCATGTACGTCTGTTAGATGTCATTTTTGGAATTTAGAACGCTGTTACTCCGTATTAGTATATGATCGTTGTAATTATTACCTTTTTCATCTATCACAGCCAATGGTCAATGCGACCTCTGTGTTATGTAGGAGCTCTCATTTTTCCTACAAAAGAGCTTTTTTTTTTCCCTGTACTCTCCAATGACAATATTACTGAAAGTATTCAATATATATCAAGGTATGTATTTTCTGATGGTGTTGATATACAAGGATGACTCAGACAGAATAGACGACTTTGTAATGTGTCTGTGTTGGTTATGGAGATCATTGCTCTCGTTACTTTCTATTCATATGAAATCAACAATCGACTCTGCTGTTCCATTTAGTTGAAAGTGAATGTCTCTGGTTCGTGCTTTCTAGGCGAGTGTTAACCTGTTAAACTGTTTGAACTATCTGGTCTTTCTTTGATTTATTTTCGTTTTTTGATATGATAGATATTCTTATTTCCCTAAGTCAGGAGCTAGAAGAACCAGCAAAGTGTTGAGAAAGATGCTTTTGAAACAAATTGTGCATAAAATTGCTCTATGCTCTTTGTATTCTTCCAAAGCGACAGGCTTGCTAGTATGATGTATCAACTAACTTTTTTTTTTTCTTTTTTTTTTTCTGAAATTATCAACTTCCTTTTGTTGATTGTTTATCTACAAATGGCTGAAGCTTTGGAACCAATAGTCAGGGGCGGAGCTAGAAGGGGACGAGTGGGGACACTTGTCCCCCCATTTTCAAAAAAAAAAAATTAAAAAAAAAATTAAAAAAAAAATCGCTGGATGTGAACGCTAGAACGGATGAAACGAAGAACTGAAGAAGCACTGCTCCATCTTCACTCGAGTACTCGACCATTACTCCAGTAGATCGACCGCCGTCGGCTTTCCGTTCTTCGCTGATGTGCTGCGACGCTGCCTCAGTCATCACCAGCCACTCAGCCAGTCCAGCCTCTAGTAGTCAGTACTTAGTAGATTGACCGTCCTCGGTGGCTCGGTTAGTTGGTCCTCTGTCCTCACCAGTCACCACTTCACCAACTGCGCGCTGCCTAACCGTCCGACCGTCGGGCCTCGGCCGTCTTCGCTGCATCACATCCATCAATGGTATGTCTTGTTAGCCCTAATTCGAAATCCCCAATTTGAAATCCCCAATTGTTAACCCTAATTTTCAGATTTTAGTTGAATTATTGTTAATTTTAATTGCAATTTTTGTTGAATTTTAATTTTAATTACAATTTTAATCTTAGGTTTTTTTATTATGCAATGATATGGATTGTGGAAATTGATATATATTTTTCAATTTAATTTGGAAATGTCAAATGATTCACCTAATTCAAACAAATCCAAGGCTACTAGAAAACAACCTGATCTTCGACAATTCATGTTTAAAAGAAAGAAACTCCATGAAAATGAGTCCAATAACTCCCCTTCATTTAGCTCCCCTCAAAGTCAAGAAAATGATATGGAAATGGGTGGTTCAAGTCACTTTTATTGAGAAGGATATCTTCTTACAAGTTTCCGATGAAAAAATTATTGATCGCTTTCAAAATATGAGGACTCGAAGGATGAAAGTGTAATTTTAATTGAATGTTTATGTAATTTTTTTTCATCATTTTGACTTGTATGACTAAGTATTTTTACATTTTGAAATTATAAAATTAAGTATTAACCAATATGTGTGTTTGAGTTTTTTTTTCGTTAAGATTTTTGTCAAATTATATTATATTCATAATTTGTCCCCCCAATTTGAAAATCCTGGCTCCGCCACTGCCAATAGTCACTGCCAAATGCCAATATATGGATTTTGTAGTCACGTTGATAGTGTAATATGGAGTATAAACTAGCAATTGCACGACACGGAGGGAGTAATCAACACTCTAGAGCCTGCTGCGGTCTTAAATAATCACTGCAAAGATTAGTGCACACTGCCAACTTAAACTGGACGAAGTAGTTCATTCAACTCACTTACTCGTATTTTACGATGCTGCCAGTAGCATTAGAGGCTGGAATATAATGAATCAGAGAACGTACACTACTACATTTACCTTACTTCTACCTAAGTATTGAATGGATAAGTGAGAATTAGAGGGTAATTAGAAGAAATTAGAGGTTAATTAAGTGAATTAGAGTTACTAGGTTGTCTTCAACAAAAAACAATTTAGAAGTACATCGACACAAAATTTGTTTCCACCAATTTTGTTTGACTCAACAGAGATGAGAAGTGATTGGATTCAGACTGCAATAATCATAAGAATTTGTAATAACCCAAATTAAGCTCCAAGTTAGATAAGATAATATTAACATAAGATGTAGCCAAAATGATAAGAATTTTAGATAAGATGTAGCCATACTTATTAGATTATTAGATAAGATGTAGCCAAAATGAAATGGATGGTTTTGACGTAGCCAAAATGTCTAATTAAATAAGATGTAGCCAAAATGGTGTAGATTAGATAAGATATTATGTATCTACAAATTTATTTAATAAAGTATTATATATCCATTTTCAGTGCATATTAAGTGATCGTATCGTTTGTACTCAAGAAAAAAACAAACAAAATTATATAGGAATGGCTGACCACACCGTATGACCAGCCGCATATAAGAATGTGGCTGGCCATATTGGGTTACTTCGTTAGTGTAATCGGGGTTACTTGGTCAGTGTTAAAGGGTTACTTCGTTAGTGTTATAGGATTACTCGGTCAGTGTTATAAGGGTTATTTGGTCAGTGTTACAGGGGTTTCTTGATCAGTGTTAAAGGTTACTTTATTAGTGTTATAGGATTACTCGATCAGTGTTATAAGGGTTATTTGGTCAGTGTTACAGGAGTTACCTGATGTGTTCTAGGGATTACTTCGTTCTTTAATAAGTGGTCACACCGTGTGGCTGTGCGGTTAGCCACACACAAGACGGGCTACTAAAACTAACTTATGAGCAAGGTTATGTCACAATAATTATCTATTGTGTCATTAAAATTATCTCAAATTAGTAGGCGACTATCTAATAAGAAACCAAGCAAAACCCAATATAAATTTCATTAGCACATATGTACACTATCAGATACAATCACCAAGATAATGATACATGAACGCATAAGCCATAAATTTATACAACATTTAGACTATTTTTTAATTACCCTAAGTATTACAAAGAGTCTGGTGCAACAAAAAAAATAATATTAAAATATAAAAATATAATAAAAAAAGAAAAAGAGATTTAACAGACTCTTGGCAGTCAACTAATGTTGGTGGGATACTAGCTAGTAATGAATCCGAAGTTGTTTGTACGAACTCCTTTTCCCAGAGCTTATAATCTCTGGTGAATTTTGATTTGCAACAAATTCCCGCCAAATTTTTCTTTAAAAAAAAAATGTTGGTCGAAAGTTAATCCAAATCTAATGCCAACTGAAAATATCGGGTAAGCCTACAATTAGTGTGCTTGAAAAGGTCTTTATACATAATAACACAAGTTGATAGCACAACAATCATCATTAGCCACAATAGTGAATTAATAGTTTAGTAATTAACCCAAAATATTTTGAGGCTTAAAATAAATCGTAATCAATATCATATTCTTATTCATAAAATCTACTTGATAGAGAACCTTGGTGTTAAGTTTAAAAATTTAGACAACACTTTAAAATAAAAAAATTGGATAGTACTATTAAGTAATACTTCGTATAATTAAAAGATGTTAAAAGTAGTTGCTACTTGCTAGCCTGTTATTGTTTATTATCCTCATGCTTTATGATAATTGGAATGCAATTTATACATCTTTAACATGAAGTAGAAATTAAGTGAGATAAAAAAAATACTACAAATTTGAATCTAAGGTGAAATTTCAAGAAATGGATTAGATGAAAATTTATCAACTATTACTAAAACAAAACATTGCTGACATCATCAACTCTTAAACTATCCTACGTGTCATTTTCACATTAAAAAATTTCCCTTTATTATTATGTATGATGTCATCAAATATTTTTTTGATCTACAATATATATATTTCACACAATAATTAATTGTCACTCTTTTTACACAAATGATAAAAACTATGAAGTATCTTTTTATGCATAATAATAAAACTAAAACTATTTAAATCGTGCAACGCACAAGTCTAATCTAGTATAAGTAATAATCAAGCCAAACAATACTTCTTAAACTACTTTAAAAGTGAACTATTTCTATTTGTATTGCATTGAATCCAATTTACATTTGCGAGGTAATTTTGCATCCAATTTACAAACTCCACCCTTTACAGAATAACCCTCAAGCATCAGTCAACTAATTCCACAATTCTTTTCTCAGCGCACATTTTCTTCTCGCTAAACAAACTAACTGATACATCAAGGGAAATGATTATTTACACCCATTAACAATCCTGAATCAAATTCAGGCACCTTTTTTTTTTTTTTTCATCTATGAATCAAATTTCAAGTTTATTGGTATATTTCTCACCTATGATTGTATAGAAATTCTCAAATTTAAAGTTGGATGTTTTATTATTTTTCTAAGTCAATAATTGGTCAAGGAGATCCTATATATAATGCCTCTCCTAGCTACGGGTTCTCTACACTCGCTAAGGGTTATCAAACTCAGGAGGTAGCAGATTCTTCCCTCTCTCAAGCTGCTTGAGAGGTATACGTGTATTAAAAAATTAAACTCATTTAAAATAACAGGTTCATTTAATTTTGAAAATGATAACATTTGGATTGTGGTTTCTGACATGTAACTTTTTAAATAAAAACCATTAAGAAAATCAGTTCTTGTAGAACAATTTGATTTTTTCACAAACCTCCATTTTCAGTTGAAGTTCTCCGAACTTACCGCGCCCACCTCCTTACGTCTCCCTCTTTGATACAAATTCCATCTTACAATTTTCACATACGAATCTTTTGCCATCGCCAAAGAGAAGGGATGCTGCATCAAGAGCCGCGCACCTAGTTTTACAACAACATTAGAGATCAATATTTAATAGCTTCACAAAATAAAATTACAATCTGTAAACTAAAAAACATATTTGGTGACAATTAGGGCATAAATCAAGGGCGGATTTAAGTTCAAAGCAACGGGATCAATTGACTCCACTTGTTTTTAACAAAAAAAAAATTATTTCTTAAATTATTTATAAAATGAAGAAATAACGATTTATTTAGCATTAAATTATTTAATATGAGAATAATAATATGTAAATTTTAAATAATATATAACACACATGATTATATGAGTGAACTATGTGCAATATAATATTAACGTAGTTACACGTAATTTGTTATTTTATAAATAATTTATACGTAATTTGTTAATGCGTGAATAATTTTAATATATTTTTTTCGGTTTTTTCACCAAATGCCCTTGAACTTTTCAAAAATTCACCAAATACCCTCAAGTCTTTCAAAATTCACCAAATACCACTGACGTTTGTTACTATTCACACCTTGACCTTAGATTACCCCTGATGTTAATGCTCCGTTAGTACAAATTTACCATTTAGCCCTTATTATCTTAAATGACGCCATGAATACCGTTAACTCCTTGACTTGATCATAAGAGCCAAAAAAAATTTGACCATTCGTATTTTTCATCTTCTCTTGCTCTGTTCTTCAAGGTTTCAGCAAGAAGGAACCCTAAAAAATCATCACGAAAAATCCAATCTTTCTAAAATCTGAAGTTCAAACCTGCAACAACAAAGTACCAAAGAGTTAGTGATATTGAATTGTGGGTAGAAAGAAGCTTTGCAACGTGTTGCGATAGGGTAGGCTGACTTT